GGCAAGTAGCTAATCATGAGCTAGCTATATGTTAATTAATTTCTGTACTTCATTCAAAGCACTACAAAGGAGGTTTTTGGCCTCCTACAATGCTGATATATCAGTTAGAACTCGTAAACACAGGTACCTGGTTAAAACATCCATTTTCAAAATCTTTTAATAAGTCAAATAGATGATAATATAGAACTATAAATGGTCAAATAAGTTATTTCTCATTCTGTTTTCCACTTAGCTTGCAAGTTAAACAGTTAGCAGGCAAGCTTTGTGTAGCCCTCATCAATCAAACTGCTAGCTTAGCATACCAGTAACCTGCTATCATAGCATTTCACAAGCCCATTATTCTGCTAGTTTAGCATACACTAGCCTTTTAGTCAAATTTAGAAATTTAGCCACTAGACACAGCTTAGCATACTTTAACTGCTTAGTCTGATAGCCTACATATATACACAAGTTACTAGACTACACTGACTAACTTGCTATTATAGCATATGGCTAGCCCATTAACCTGATAACTTGTAATAGTTCTTGATCGTTCATCTGTGAAGACTGATGAGTAAGAAGGATATCACATTACACATTGTGGCTGGTCTTCCTGATAACAGTCATAATGCTCACGCTCCCTGTCCAGTTAGGTAACTAATGAAGGATGAGACGTGCAGATGATAGTGTCATGGACAGGCTGTACATCCGTACCTCTCTCTCTATCTACAGGATGTTTATATTAAAAGCTGGCAAAGAGCAGGGTGGGATTCACTGTAAACGAATGTGAAGTGTTGAGGCCGAGCAGGGTAACAAAGGGAGGAAGGAACAAGGATGCATATACTATTTGCGTGTGACTGTCTGATTGTTTTACAGGGACACAGCAGGACAGGAAAGATTTAGGACGATCACCACGGCGTACTACAGAGGCGCAATGGTAAAACACCACTGGCTACTACTCATGTATATATGTGAAAGTGAGGATCACTGAAGATGGATGTTTCATATTTTCTGCTTGCTTTGTTTTCAGGGCATTATGTTGGTATATGACATCACCAGTGAAAAGTCATTTGAGAACATTAAAAACTGGATACGCAACATTGAGGAGGTAACACTGAAGAGGAAAATGTTCACATATTGATTTGTGTAGTGTTATAATTTACATTAACGGTCCTGGTTTCTCATTGGTTAATACATTGCAGTCCAATCATATTAGGGGGCCATTGTATAATAGGCTTGTTACCCACTCTTTAAATTTATAACAAATATAATTTGTTTATTTGATACATTTGTTAGAGAATTTAACTTGAAGTGCTGAACTTCTCAATTACTCATTTCAGCATGCATCATCTGACGTAGAGAAGATGATCCTCGGAAACAAATGTGACATGAACGACAGGAGACAGGTGTCCAAAGAGAGAGGAGAGAAAGTGAGGCCTCTCACATCTTACAAACTTATAGTTATCCATACAAGGAATAAATCATTTAAAAAGAGTAATATAACATAAATCTTTTAAAATAAGAAGAACAAATAAAATGCATAAATGTCATTCTTGTAACACTACCTTTTTATTATAGTTATAGTATTTTGAATCAGATATTCAGTATTTTGAGTGATACTGGAATGAATTTTAATGATACATTTTGTATTTTATCTAGTAGGTTTTTTTGTTTTTGTTTTGTTTTTTTGTTTATAACTGTTGTCATTTTTTTTACTTTTTGTCCAGTTGGCAATTGATTACGGGATCAAGTTTTTGGAAACAAGTGCAAAAACCAGTGTAAATGTCGAAGAGGCCTTTTTCATATAATATATATATATATATATATATATATATATACAGTATATATATAAGTCATGAATCATTATTACAATAAATCACATTTTAGAATGATAACTACTGTGGGTAAAAAAAAAAAAACATTGTTTGATAATTGCACTTAGTTTGCTTACTATGGAAGCCCATTTCCTAGAATGATAACTACTGTGGGTAAAAAAAAAAAAACATTGTTTGATAATTGCACTTAGTTTGATTACTATGGAAGCCCATTTCTGCCACTGAATAAAAATTTTAAAAAGGTTATTGTGACATTATAGGTATAGTATTTTGAATCAGATATTCAGTATTTTGAGTGATACTGGAACGAATTTTAATGATACATTTTGTATTTTACATTTTGTATTTTATCTAGTAGGTTTTTTTGTTTTTGTTTTGTTTTTTTGTTTATAACTGTTGTCATTTTTTTTACTTTTTGTCCAGTTGGCAATTGATTACGGGATCAAGTTTTTGGAAACAAGTGCAAAAACCAGTGTAAATGTCGAAGAGGCCTTTTTCACCCTTGCTAGAGACATTATGGCTCGACTTAGCAGAAAAATGGTGAGTGTTTTTTTAAAAAAATTTTAAAGGGGTCATATGATGCGATTTTTGTATCACGCAATTCTGAGAAAAAAATCAGAATTGCAAGTTTTTATCTCACAATTCTGAAAATTTCTCGCAATTCTGACTTTATAACTCGCAGTTGTGAGTTTATATCATGCAATTCTGAGAAAAAAAAATCTACATTTCCAGTGTATATCCCGCAATTCTGAATTTATAACTCACAAATATATCTCGCAATTCTGACTTCAGTTTATATCTCACAATTCTGACTTTATTTTGCGAGTTAATTGCGAGTTTATATACTTTTTCTTTAAAATATGTTTAACAAACTTTTTAACTTGAAATTGTGAGTTATTAAGTCAGAAGTGAGAAAACATCAGTCTTTTTTCCCCTCAGAACTGGACTTTATATCTCTCAATTCTGAGAAAAAAGGTCAAAATTGTGAGTTTGTATCTTATAATTCTGATTTAATTTCTTGCAATTCCGACTTTATAACTCACAATTGCGAGTTTATATCACACAATTCTGAGAAAAAAAAATCTGAATTTAGTTTATATCCCGCAATTCTGACTTTATAACTCGCAATTGCTAGTTTATATCTCGCAATTCTGACTTCAGTTTATATCTCACAATTCTGACTTTATTACTCACAATCGTGAGTTTATATACAGTATATATATATATATAATTTTTAATTTTTTTTTATGTTTAACAAAGCAAAATTTAAATGTTTCTATCTTTCTGTTGACTAGAATGATGGTGGTCAAGCAGATAGCGGAGGGCCGGTGAAGATTTCAGAGAAGCGCTCTAAAAAGCACAGCATCTTTAAGTGTGCTCTGCTGTAACGCTTTTACGGCAAGTGTATACAGTACGTTCACTCGCTGTGTGTCTGCGGCAGCCAGAAATGCTCTGCTGGTATAACGTGTCACACGAGCCCCTGCAAAGAGCTGGACTATCAGGCTCAAGAACAGATGAAGGTTCGTCTTTCCAAGCTCTTAAAGTCAAGATGGAACAGAGGAATGATGCAGCTTTGAGAGATTTAGTCAGTTCACTCGGTGGTAGAGTCACAATGGGAAACGTTTCCTTTGTTGTGTGGTGATAATCGTGATGATTGTGGTAAAAGATAATGGATCAAATACGAATTTTTTTTTTTTTTATATGTTATTGTAAAATATTGTATATGTACACAGCACATGCTGTCTTAAAACATTTGCTGCTGAAGGCTTAGATGTATCGTGTACAGTATTTCTGAATTAGTCAGTGAGTCTGTCTTGTTGTAACATGTTCCTGGGTGTCTTTTATACAGTATATACACTGTGTTCTTCCACTGGTTCAAAAAATGTAATAGAGAAAATCTGTAAAAGGCCATTTTTGGGATGCCAGTGGGTTAAAAGCACTTTATATGTGTTTTCAGTGAGCTCTCCTCACAGGCACGTCCATGTATAGCACAGACGGACATCAATCCATCTGCAGGAAGGTTGCAAAGATAGAACATGATGGCTGCAGTGCATGATGGGTGAAGGAACATCTTCAGGTCAGGTATCAAAGGGAACACGTATTACTTGGCAAAATCAGTCACCCATAGAAAGTGTGTGTCTGACACATCTAAACCTGAGAAATTGTGCCTGTGTTGTACTGTAGATCCTTAGCCTTTGGGTGATAAAATATAGGGTTTATATTCAAATTCAGTCTAGCACTGATCTGTGAAAATTTTGTGACAGTTTTTGAATATGAAAATGATCATTAACTATTTAATTAATTAGCATTTAAATTAATGTTTTAATTTGAAAACAGGCTGCTTGGCCATGTGAAATCAAGTATAGAGACTAGGGTCTTGGTGTCAATGCTACAGTATGTTTTGTATTTTGCTAAACAGGAAAGCCACTAACGCATGCTTATGAAAATTCATTAACGAAAACTGACCTTTTTTTTCTATTCCAGCTTAATATTTTTCATTTTAGCTCTTTTTCATTTTTTGTTCAATAACATCCAGTGCATAAGGTTATATACTCAATGTATAAGCAACCTTTATTTACTGTTTACATATTTTTCACCATAGGCTCTTAAAAAAAAACATACAGTTGCCAAAAATTGGTATTTATGCTTTTTTTTTTTCCTTTTCTTTTTTTTGCTTGTACTGTGATTATGTGTAGTTGTTTTAGTCAAAGATTGCAGGGTGAATGCAACTGGTTAAATCAGCACTTTTGTTTTCAAATGTCTGAGACATTTCGGTCTCCTATTCAAACTGCACTAATAGTTGTATCAGAAGAAGTAGCACAGATTACAGCAATAAAACGTCCCCATTTCGGAATTCTCTCTTCCGACTACTTGTGCTGATATTGGGGACCTTAATGCCTTGGAACTGGATCTACTGTATTAATCTGAGTTGGACTGTTTGAATCTTGAAAATAAATTTTTGGTGATCATCATTTCACTTTGACAAATGTAGCATATCATGACCACTGATATTCAGATGGGACCATTGTTATGCATGTATTTTCTTTCATATTTGTGATTGTATGACCAAATTTTTAAGAAATGACGTGGTGTTATTGGACTCTATAATGCGACCTGTTTCCTGAAAAGCTACAGTATGCTTATTTAAACATGTTGAAACCTTAACAAAGAAAATGTGAACAAGAATTTGAAGTGTGGTTTTATTAATTGTAGACTTTTATACTACATATAACCAAAGTAAATACTGTATAAACTTGTCTTCAGCTTATTTTTTTCTCGTGTAGTTCTTCTTTTTTCCAGCAGTTCATCATCCAGAACAGCAGATGGTGCTATTACACAGTCTTATTCCCACAATAAACAGAATGCACCACTCATACAACATGCTAACTCCAAACATTTTGCATTGAGGTAGACTCATTTTGTCCTTTGACTAGTTCAGTTTGCATAGCCTTACTTTTTAGCCCATAAAATTTCATAATACTGTCATTTTACCAGTCAAAAAACATCTAAACCATAATACATAATAAAGCAGTGAGCAGGGATACATACCGTCACATAATGTATTTTGTACATTAAATACATATACTGATGGAAATACTTTAAGTGCAAGCACACAAATAATGGATAGTTGATACTATGGCTTCAGAGATTTGCTACTCGGTTAACTTGATCATGACACCTGAGTGCATACTGTTAATGTAAGTATATAGTGTTATAGGTGGATATACAGAATTTAATGTGTGTGTCATTCTTGTCTGTTGAATTTCTGATCTTATTGGACTCCCTCTGGAGTGTCTGGTCACGGTTCGTTTGATGGTGCATCGTCTATTGTCTTCTGTGCTGGTTTACCTGGATCATCAGGAGAGTCCCCAAATGTTCCAGCAAGGTCTCTTTCACTGCTTGATCCGTGGGCTCTTTTCAAGCTGTTTTCTAAGGACTTGCAAGGTTTTGTGGACCAGCTTTTAGATCTTCCAGGGAGGAACATTGTGTCTTCTGGCAGAAGCAGATGGCTACCATCAGCTTGGACTTCAGAATCAAAGGGACCTACACCTGTTGGTATCTCCTCTGTTTGCTCTCCGTCTTGCTTCTCTGAACTTTCCTCCTTTTCAAGACCTCCTTCAGGATCATCTGGTTCCTTTGTCACTTCCTGCTCAGTATCTTTCAGGCATTTGTCCACATTGTCACTCCCTTCTTCCTGATTTACCTGATCTACATCAAGTGATGCCTGTCTTCCAGTCGTCCCCGCTGAGTGTAGCTCTTCACCCTTTCTTATCCCATCTTCAATAATTGACTGACGTCGTTCAAGATTCACTGATCCATCTGAACTGTCCATTGTCTTCTCCCCATCTTGCATTCCCATCTCATCTATACTATGTCTAGAAGAAACTCTCAGCATTTGTTGCTCAGGCTGGTCAGAATGTTGCTCTACCTTGAAACTGTTGCTAAATTGGTCAATCTGGTCTACCAAGGGTCTTACCGTTGATACCTTTGGCGTCTGACCAAAAACACTAGGGTGTACCTTATACTCATAGCCAGCACTCCAACGTCTTGTAGCTGGAGACCCACCCATTCCTTCTCCTTCTAGATTTGGTTCTCTTCCACTTGCTTGATCAAATGAGATTGTGCTCCAACACCTTCGTACAGTGGACGGGGATGTGCTTTGTATTTCTCCAGGATAGTATTGAAAAGCTTTCACCTTTTCTAGAGGGTAGGAGGTAGTCGCCTGAAGTTTTGCTCTCTCCATGATCAAGGCTTCTTTCAGTGTGGCTCTATCTGAAGAAGTCTGGTTGTTAGGAACTGTAGATTTGGGTGATTCTGGCTTTGTCCCTTCAACCTCAACATCCTTATCACAAGGGAAGATTCGGATGTCCACACATGAGCCAAGGCGTCTTTTTACCCCTGGAATATCCACCTCTAGATTCTGGCCATATTCCTTTGTGTTGAGGTTTGTAGTGCTTATTGTTTTACTCAGATCTGCCTCTTTCTCCTCAGGTGGACGGTCATCAACACCCAGGTAATAGCGGTAGAGGCTGTACCCATCAGCACTGTTGATGCTACTGTGCCGTTGGAGAGAGGAGGGGTCGCAAATAGAGGAGGCGGATGAGCGTGTCCGGGTGAGTTCGGAGTGGTCGATTCCCACCAGTCTTTCCAAGGCATTCACCATTCGGCCATTAATGTCTTCCAGCTGGGACAAACGAAGGTCCACTGTCTGAAGGGAGGCCTTCATTGTGTTCTCCCTCTCATTCACCTCCTCAAGGCACATGGACATGTTCTCCACCCTGAGCATGAACAAGAAGATTGTGTAAATGTGATGATTGAATAGATAAGAAGTTTGCAGACGAGGACCTACAATAATGTACAGTATTTGAAAAATAATGTGTTTTTTGAACATTAAAGCATGTCAACATATTCTGTTACACCAAATACACCAAATAATAATCTTTAAAAAAGCATCATATGACCCCTTTAAGAGATTTACCCGTATTCCTGTACTTAAATCACCTTTCATTTGTAACCCTGATACGCTCATCATTTGAGGACTGTTGCTCATCTTCTTTCTCCCTGAAATATTCCTCCACACATTGCTCCTCAAACTCATACAGCATCTTCAGCTCGTCCGGGGTAAGAATAAGCTCTTTATGAGGAAAAGACATAGAATACAAACAAATATTTATCTCATGGTCTTTTACTACTCACTTGGAACACCTGCATCTTGATCATTTATAATTTGGTCTAATTATTTTATGAAACTCACTTAATCCTTTATCCTTTTCATCCAGTTCTCCCTCCTTTTTCTTACTACAGCGGCAGCAGAGTTTGCGAAAAAGGATGTAGAGGTGGCTAAAGATAATCATTGGTGGAGGCAGCACTGGCCTGTCATGGAAAGTCATGATGAGCTGATATCTCTGAAACTTCCACACCTGGTTCGAAATGGACTTAACCTCAAAGAATGTGTTGCTTTAATGAGAGAAAACACATAGCAGTGAATCAGCGCCACTGAACTGTTAAAATATATTCACCAATGAAGACATTTTTGTAAAGACCAATAGCCACAAATTGTTTGGATTTTACACGCTGCAAGTGAAACAAGTCATCAAAACCATGCAATGGTAGCATTCTTACTTGAAGACAGCAATGAGCAAATTCACAAGCAGGATGTTGGCCACTAACAAATAACAGGCCATGATGGCCGGAGTCAGCCAGGCTCCAGGGATGCAGGGTGGAAGCTTTTTCCCATCCTCATCATATAAGTTTTCTCCACAGGGGGCTGTTTAAAAAAGCTTTCTTGTTACATTTTAGTACCAACAATCGATCTGTTCCGCATTCACAACAATTCCAATGCCGCTATACCATTAGTAGGGTTATTTTTCATGAAAACAGCGTTTATCATTGTGTCAAATGTTTATAGTTTTGCTTACGGTTTATTTCCATTGCGTAAACTTGAGCACATTCCAGAAGAGCAAGTATAGTCACAAACAGTCAGTTAGTGCAAGTGGAAACCAGAAACAAGAACAAAATATGCAGCAAGAATTAATCAAATCCAACATCTTAATCAACAGACAGGCAGGATAATCAGCTAGAAACTGCTGCAATGTGTATGGCAGAGTAATGGCATACAGCCTGAAATACTGAAATAACCACAATTTGACAACACATTTTTCTGTTTCCAAATTTGAAAGTTACAAGACTGAATTCTCAAAAGGTTCCTAACACAACAAGAAAGGCACTAGGCATGATGTTATAGGGGAAGCAGCAACAAACAGCAGGATCACATCGGTGATGGAGATATTAGTGAGGTGTTAGGAAGGTGGATCAGACTGTTAAAGGCCATCTATCTACCCTGGAGGCAGGAAACAAAATCTTACTATAAATTCTAGTCTTACGGTCTATCGAATCTGCAAACACCTCTCCATAGATCATCCAATAAGGCATGTAGAAGATGTTGCGAGCCAAGCGCCATGTGGGCTCCTCGTCTGGGTGGAGGATAGCCTGCCGTGCCACGCCGAAACTCATCAGGACCACCAACATGATCACCACAAAGTACAGCATGTCAATCATCTGCAAGGCAGGTGGCAGCTTATTGAAGTCGAAAGTCCATACAGTTGATAATCAAGTGTACAAGGTCTAAAGGTATAATAGATTTAATAAAACAAATTGCATTACCATTTTCCCAATCATCATGACGTAGGGTCCTAGGTACTTGTTGACTCCAAATATGTCTAGTACGCGGATATACCAGAAGATAATGTCCACGCAGTAGATCACACGGCCGTAGCCCATGTAAGGTTCACTTTGCAGCCTAAGTAGTAGCCCAAGCAAGAAGGTCGAGATGGCCGCCAGGTCTGTGATGTTCCAGTACTCTTCCAACCACACATTTATCTTTTGCCTGAGCTTGCCTGGTTCTGACATCAAAATCTGGAGGAGATAGTATCAGATATAGGCTACAAGCTGATTCTTTGTTATTGGGTTTGGGTTGATTGCACTATTTTTGCATCTATTTCTAGAGATGTGGCTGTAGTGGTGTTTTAAGGAGAGATTGACATCTTTACCTGTCTGACTTTCTCCAACCCCAAAGTGATGATGTATGAAATGACGATCCACTCTTGTAAGGATGGCCAACGCTCCATCTTCACCAGTACTATATAATTGTACAGCATGAGATAGCCAAGGTAGGAAATCTGTCCAATGCAAACCGATTTTGGATTTCAACATAGTTTTAGTTATTGTTTTAAAAATAATATAGTAAAATAAAATAAAATATTCTATAATATATTCTACTCAATCCTTTCAGAGTATTTCCCTGCCTATGGCTCAAGATGCTGGGATAGACTGCCCTAAATAAGACAAACAGTTTGGAAAATGGATGGACGGATTAATTTTTTACTCACAGTATTGAACCAAAATTTGGTGAAAGGGGCATTGTAGAACTCATAGATCTTCGTTCCAATAGGAATCCGTCTCATTTTCTTATTACCTTCCTCCTCATCTCCTTTCTTAGAGGCTGTATCTGCATTGGCATCCTAGATGTACATGAGGTGGTTTTACAACAGGCAGAATTCATAGAAACAGCATCCTCTCTAAAATCTAAATCACCAAATCATCCTGGATTTGTTTTAACCAGACCAAACATAAGATTAAAAAGCCGTTTGATGCAGCATTAACCACTGTGCTAGAGTTCCCCTACTGTTTTTCCTCACAGGACTAACTAAATACTGTTTTTATAGACTGTAAAATAATAGAGTATCTGCAAACTACATATGCTTTCTATTATTTAATCCTTCCACTTTCTATCTACATCATGTCTGGATGTGTCACGCAAGACCTGTGTTTACAGATGGATTAAGCTCATATAATGTCAGGTCAAGAGCTTTCAGTTATGTACTCTACACTGATCTAATAAAGGAGTGGTTTGTTTAAATAGAAGGAGTGGTGCAGTTTTTACCCGGCCGGACTTATCATCATCCTTGGTCTTCCTGTCCTCGCTATTTGCAGTGACTTGATGAGACACGTCATCACCCAGACGGAAATCCAACAGCAGGATAAAAGGTGGGAAAATGAGGCTGAGTATCACCTGGCGTTTGCAGAAACAGAAGAAAAAGGCAAATCACAATCAAGAAACAACTTAAAATAAATTATCTAGATATTTGTACGGGAAAACAAGACTAAAATAATCAGGAAGATGTTCATTTGTTGCAGTGCATGTAACACTCAATGCAATGACTTTATGAAATATAAGACTTCCTGCTCCAATTTAAGATCAATTTAATTAAAGGCCCTCCAGGAACCCTGGAAATATCAAAAGAAATTGCCTCACCTTCAGTCCTGGGTTTTTACCCATTCTCAGGCTGCCCATCCACATGTCAGTGAGGAGCATCTGGCTGCAGGTGTGGGCTATGAAGTCTCTGTGCTTGGCAGCCACTGCCAACTTCAGACAGGTAGAGTTACTCCAGTTCTTTAACTCGTAAGTCAACAGTTTCATGGCTAGCTGCTCATCATGTTTGTAGGACTGATCCAGCAACTCATAGGCCAAGGTTCCAAACTCCCTAAAATTACCAGAAGTGTAATTTTACAGTGTAGAAATAGATTTTTGCCATATTGAAGTAATAAAACCAAGAGTTTTTTATTTAACACTGTAAAACATTTCGAGAAAAAAAAAAACACTTAGCATTTAACTTAGCATAACATTATAGCATTTTGCCTTTCCCCCCTCATAGGTTGTACATTCATACCTGCATATTAGTGAACCAGACTTGAAAGGGATTTTACATTCACTTACTTGGAGTTGTTATCGAGATCCTGGGATATGTCGTCCACCATCTCACTCTGAGACGACTCATGAGCCATGGCTTTGAGGAGCTTACAGGCCACCAGAGCTTTAGCCATACCCTCCTCGCCCCTCTGCCACAGGAACAGAGACATCTTCTGCCTTTTCATCAGCACTGCCCAGACCATCAGCTCGTGGAATGGATAATGGAAGCGGCTGACCTCTGGGTCATCCACATCAATGTCCTCCTCTTCTTCTTTCTTCTTCTTTTGCTTCTTCTTGCCTTTTGGCCTGGGCTCATCATCCTAATGAGGTGAACAGGATATTTATATTAATAGAGATATTGGGTGATCTTTCTTAGAATGTAATTTAAAGAAGTTCAAATATTTGATGTGTACCTCCATTCCAAGCAGCTTTAGGGCTTTAGGCTGGAAATAAAGGGACATGAGATTACTTAGACTGTTTGTGTGTACTTAAAACATTTAGTAATTTGAGTAATCTCTATGTTTTACCCTCTTTAGTCCATAAAGATTGTTATAAAGAGCTCTGAAGTTTTTCCTTGTGTAGTTACAGCGATAGGCTCCACCCATCAGGTACTCCACCACCAGTCCAATGTCGATCAATGTGATTTGGTAATCTGGTGGGAGATTCCCCTGAAATCAAAAGAACAAAAGTTATTTCTCCTGAAATGTTTGTCAAGCTACGTTTTACGAAATACAAGCGATGCATAAAATTATATTTTTATATATTCTTCAGAAAACGTCAGCAGTGAAATTGGATTAACCAGAATTCAATAGTCAGACAGCTTTACCTTTTTAACATCTCTTACGACAATATGCAGAGTGTTGGCAGGACCAAGTTTCTGATAGACACAAAATAACACAGATTGCATATGATTGAGTAATAGAATTATGAGGAATATTAAAAAATATGACAGCAGGGCCTGTCTTTTTTTCTGTGGATTAATGAATTGCTCTCATGCTCTATTGTATTGTACATCCTTTGTGATAAGCTCCAAAATGATAATGGTTACAGTGCTTACAGTGTTGTATAACTCCTCTAATCGAGGGATGGTTAGAAAATGGTGAATGTTTACACCATTTTCTAGCAGGAGCTTGACAAAATCCACTCTGTCCAGAACCAAAGCGTCAATCATGGCCTGCTCGAGGGAGTTCACCTGAAGAGGGCGACAGCGAGCGAGAAGTTAGGTAGAATGCTAAGCTTGCTGAAACACTAAACTTAAACACAAGTACTTCGAACATATGCTACATTAATTTTCTGGATTATCCAGTTGACTGTATGCCACAAAATAATGATAAGCAGGCTGCAAGGATGGTATAATTTGATTCCTTAACAAATGATTCTTATGAGCCACATCTGTTCAGGGAATCAAAAACCTACAACACAAACACTAAAGTCTAATTTACAATCAAGTGACTCTTATGAGCTAGTTCTTTTAATTAATTGGTATCAAAGACTCAAGAACTCTGGAGTTGCTGGATAAAATCCGTCTGATCAATCTTTTACGCAAGTTTTTAGGAACCACTTTAGGAATACCAGTAAGACTTCATATATAAATGAATGGTGAATTTAAATGAGATACATTATATGAGAAACATAATACATTTAGGGAAAATCTAAGCAAAAGAGTCGTCTGTCTTACTGTCTTACCCAGTTCAGTAGTTCTAACTTTCTGGGGTCAGTTTCCTTTGGTTGTTCTGGTTTGGCTTTGCCTCCTTTGCCTTTTTTCCCTCTAGCCTTTCCTTTGTTACGTTGAGTGGCTCCTTTCTGCTTTTCATGAGATGGTGCTGCGCTGGTGGAGATGGCAGCGAGGGCACTTGCAGGCTATGAAAACAAACATTTTAACTTAAGAAAGTCTCTGTGAAATAAATATTTTCTTATTTCTTGGATATAGATTATTTCACATACTGGTAGATTGTGTCCATACACAAAGATTTGGTTGCGTGCTATATCCACTCTATTCCAAGCCAGAGCCAAACTCAGCTGATCTGGAGCTGATGCGTTTGTTCCTGAATTACAACGAACACACATTATAGTTCATTTCTAACCATGAACCAAATCTGTGGTATTTCAGAAGGTCTGCGTATTCACGATACCTTTCAGTAACGCAGTGAGGATAGCCATTTCAATGTCATCTTGTCCCTCAGCACCCATTCGAAACACTGTTATCTACATATACCAAGTTAGAAATTTTAATATACATACATTTATTTTGGATGAGGATGATGAAAGAATTACTGTGGTGGAAATGAATGGAAAATGTGTTTTTAGGATGAATGCTTTGCCTAATTTTATTAGCATTAGCGGGACATTCTTATTCACACTCTGCATAACTAGCTTATTTCCCTCTCAAATTACGTAATACTGCTTTTCTTGTTTAGGATGTCTAGTATGAAATGCAATTACCTTTGCAGTTGCAGTAACATGTATGTTTATCTTAAATGTAATCACGTTGGCATGGATAGTGGCCCTGTTCCAAGACATTCCTGAGTGTTAGCATGCATTGCTAATGAGAGACTTATGGTGGAGTCTGGGCTTTTAGATTAGTACCTCATGGCTGCAATGGGAGGGGTGACATCTTAAATTGAACTCATTATAATATTTTGAGAATGAATGCTAGTTCATTTCATGTTTAATATCTTGGTTGAAGCAAAAAACACTAGGGAAACACTAGCATGCTTGCTTTCATAATAGCATCTGTTAAGCTATCAATTCATGTTTAATAGTAGGCTTGAAAGTTGTACATTTGCATACCTAATATCCATATAACGGAAATTCTTATGTGCGTATGTGGACATTTGAGCTCTTAACATACATTAGCATTGGCATTTAATGTAAAAACACTGTTGTGGAAGGCCATTACTCTATCTAATGCCAGACAACGAGATGTGATGTCACTGAAATAAGCGGAGGAGATGTTCAGTGTGGATTAGAGAGAAATGGATCCACCCTCCTTCCCCGCATCTGCTCATATTCAGGAACAGGGTGAATGAACGTAGCGGGTCGGCAAGAACAGGTGGCACTACACTGATCCTAGTCCAGATGTATAGAGCTACAGATTATCTCCTGTCCTGAGGCAGTATTACTAAATACTTAACACATCACTTAGCCTCAGTTAAAGCTGCACCGGCACAAATATTACCATTAACCAAGCTCCCAGAGTGCACTGGATCATCCTATAGGTCATATATAGTCTATAGGCAAGTACTGTATATAGTGATTGTGAAGTCCGTTCTAACATATGAAGTCTGAAAGCATTTGTTAATCACAACGGTCTCATAGGTGAAGCAAAAGAACTAGTCGCTCCTGATATGAAAGGATGTGATGCGATATGATGTTTTGTACCGGTTAATACAACTAGGGAGCAAATGCAGATGGATATATGAGAGAGACACATGAATAAAGACACATGACAAAATGAATAATGAATGGAAATGTTTATTGATGAAAGGTTGCACAAAGAGTTAAAAAAATATTCATAAAACATTTTATTCTTAGTTGTTTTTATATGTATATTATGTTGTTTTAAATGTATATTTGAAAAAAAAATCTAAAACCAGCCTTGGTTGATTTGCTGGTCTACGCTAGTTAAGCATTTGTTAATCACAACGGTCTCATAGGTGAAGCAAAAGAACTAGTCGCTCCTGATATGAAAGGATGTGATGCGATATGATGTTTTGTACCGGTTAATACAACTAGGGAGCAAATGCAGATGGATATATGAGAGAGACACATGAATAAAGACACATGACAAAATGAATAATGAATGGAAATGTTTATTGATGAAAGGTTGCACAAAGAGTTAAAAAAATATTCATAAAACATTTTATTCTTAGTTGTTTTTATATGTATATTATTATGTTGTTTTAAATGTATATTTGAAAAAAAAATCTAAAACCAGCCTTGGTTGATTTGCTGGTCTACGCTAGTTTAGTCTGGTCTAGCTGGTCTCCCAGCCTGGCCAAATTGGTTTTAAGCTGGTCTCCAAGCTGAAAAGTATCCAAAGCCAATCTAAAACAAGAAGACCTGACCAGAATGAGAGACCCACTAAGACTATCTTAGGCTGGTTTAAGCAGAGAGTGGGTTTGTGTTGATGGATGTTGGTCTACAATTGTTACATGATCTTACATCACTGTAGATACTTACCAACTCCCTCTTCTTCATGCATTCAATGACCATGAGCAGAATTTGCCCTGACTGCATTTTGTTGTAGTTAAAGGTTTTCTGGATGGTGACCAGCAGTTGCTCTTTTGCGTCTTCGTTTACCAGTCTAAAAAATACAATTCAGTGTGATAATTAATAGTTTTGACAACTGATTCTCAGTCGTTCTATTAAAGATGGGTCAATACTAGAAATTCATGGGATAATGTGCATCTAGCTATTCATTTCTAGACATAAAACCCTACAGAGGCATCTGGACCCCTTCAGGGCGAAGCAAAAGGTCCATCTAAACAAATTAATTATTTAAATATTTCTCAATTATATCGATGTTTCAACATTTGAACAAAGAATGTTGATGGATAATTTAGAATCAAGCATTCCAGAGATCTGTGTAATAATGACTATTAATACTCACCCTTCAACCTCAGAATATTTGTGGGCGAAGGAAATAATGTCAGAGGCTCGACCACTGCCATCACAAACCACTACAGGCACAGGTGGTTCCTCACGCAGGCTTTCCAGGACAATCGAGATCACATTGGGACCCCCCTCCACAATCAGACATACCACCGGTACACCCTGGCCCAGTCCTAACATGCATATACAGAAAAAAAAGCAATTCACTTACCTAAATGTTTTGAATTTCTTGGTACAGGGGATTGTGCACGTATCAATATAATACTATTACAAAACATTAGCCTGAATTTTTGAGCCTTTTGGGTGTTTTGCGCTGTAAATCTTATTTTCAATTACTCAAAATGCATGCACATTAAAAATTTAAAAAGCCCTTTTATGATTAACAAAAGAGGGGTATTTAAAAGTCAGAGAAGTGGGGAGTACAATCATTTTAATTTGACTCTCCCAGGTCTGATCCCAGATGACGATGTGAGTGGTGACAGCTGAGCCTCCCTTTGCTGTCCCTGCCTTATCACGAGCTCCAGGCATAGGATGACAAAGGGAAACCCACAGGTCACAGACACCAAAGCCTTGATCAAATCTAGAATGGCTAGAGCATATCTCCACTGGTCCCTGACCCCATGAACTCCATTACGGATAATCAGGATATATCTCGCGTCATTCAAACCCTTAGCATGCTTTCAAATATGCCCTCTTAGGATCAGAGGTACATTAGACCTAAATCAGATAAGATTTGCTGATGCTACTGCACTTACGCGTGTTAATCTTCTGGAGGGAGATGTGTTTCTCCAACTGCCTGCGTAGTTTGACCTCCGCCCCGTATTTCCCACATGTGCCGTTATCAGATAGTATGAAGTGCGAATGGCTATTGTTGAGAACGGCAAGTTTGCTCAGAGGATTGGAGATGGCCTGGTATGGTTTGTTCACCTGAAGAGGAACATAATGCAGATGTCAGTGGACAAGTATGAAGCTTCAACTGTTAGATGATATAGCATAACGCCTTATACAATTATTTTTTCATAAGTTTATGAGCACCATCATGTTTTGTATTATACACCGATAGTTCGTGCTTACATCTTTTCCAATTAGATCCTCTTTGCTCTCCAGGATTCCCCATGGAGCGATGCCTATAGCACACACCTTCCCTCTGGATTTAGAAGAGTGATCCTTCAAAGCATCTCCAACGTGCCGGATCACTCCTACATTATGAAAGTAATATAAAACAGATTAGGAAACCTTCTTAACTATATCTGATACCAAACCAAATTGAATATGGATGCAAATGTTGGATCCAAGGGATCCATGTGGATCGGAATCATACTTGTTGACCAGGGATCAGCAACTCAGGTCCTGGAGGACCACTGTCTTGCAGAATTCACCTCTATCCCCAATTAAACACTTTTTTTCCCCAGGTATGTTTGAGTGGAGATGGAGCTAAACTTTGCAGGACAGTGGCCCTCCAGAACCGGAGTTGCCCATCCCTGTTGTACTCAAAAAATACCTACCAGTGCTGACTCCACCAGTGAAGATCCATGCTCCGGTGGTCATGGCAGCCTTGATCAGGCCTTTCCCAAAAACTTGCTTGAGTTTGGGCTGCAGGTCAAAGTTCTGGAGGCCACCATGAACTGATATAAGCAGCGTGGGCAACTCCAGTTGCCATTCCTTCACCATGAGATGCAGCAAGCTGTCCGGCTTAGTATCATATGACACCCGAATATACTGTAAGAGATATTGAATTATAAGCTTAATGTCAGATTTAACTGTTTTTCTTGAATGAAATATGTTTATTTCCTCACTGCGTGAACTATGCTAACATGGTTCTTTACTTACAATTGTTGGATTATTTAGACTTCAAATCTCGAGGGGGAATTAACTGAGAAATTTGTATTGTCCTTCACTTACAGGTGGTTATCAAATAAAACTCAGCTTTTGCGTCAAAATACTAGGTTCAATAATAATATAACAAGTTAGTAAATTCACCCCATAACGTTCAAAATACCATGGCTTTGTTGATAAATCCTCCTCCTTGAAATTCAATGGTACCATAGGCGTCTGTGAGGACGGTCTGGGTATGTTTGACCACCAACCATTTCTCCTGAGGAGGGTCCACTTGCACAAGCTGGTTCCCTTCGGAGGGCTTGTTGGTGACTGCGCCTGCTGCAATGGCCGAGTGTTGAGTCACTAGATAACCACAGGCGCACCTGAGGAAAATCACAGCAGAAGTAATGCTGGAGGTTTGTTTTATTGCATGCAACGGGATGTTGCTTACGTAACTCAATTAGCTGACATTTCATCATGAAAATAATTTGGTTTGAGGGTACTGCCTGTTTTTCTGTGCACGTAGACCACCTATCAGGGCTGTGTCTAAACTGCAGTCAATGTTCAATGGGTGCACATGCATCAGTGCACACCCTGGCATACCCCAACCGACAGGAAGTGTGGTGGACTGAACTACACTGCCCCCCTCACATCCAGCCTTGAAACATGCCCACACAGTGATCTGTGAAAGGGCTTATGATGTCACACATCACCCCTCATTACATAAGAGTCTAAAAAGCCTCAAAACAGAATGAGTCATAGAGGTAATTTGTTTCGCACAATTCATTATATGTAGTTACGTGTTCTTTTGAAATGGGTCAAAATAGGAAAGCTCACCGCGTTGGGTCCTTGGCTGGAAATATGTGGATACATTCTCTTTTGTGAAAGGTTTTTTCAATCCAAGCTTTCTGGCCCTAAGAAACAGACAAGAAAAGACAGTAAATCAAATAATAAACTAAACTAAAATAAATACTTTTCCGGCCCAAAGAAGCAGAAAGGGAAAAATAAGTCAGAAGAAAGTTCACAATTCACATTATTATGAAAATTAATTCAAATTATTAAAATAAAATAAAATAGTAGTTTGGTTATACAAGCACAAACCTACAACATTACACATATATTCAATGTACCATTCGACCATATTAATATATGTATAACATCAATTACAGCAAGAACTGCTTTTAGTCCCTTGAGTTTGCCCAGAGTAAATAGAGCAAATCCTCTTTGCAATGATAATCCTTACTAAAGTATGAGTGGTACAGTACGAACAAGCCGTAGATATACAGAACACATGGAAGAGAAAATATGTAGATGGCAAATGTCTAAAGTGATTAACTATGGAGACTTCTGGTGAAATGCATTTGTTCACCATTACCAGTGATAAGTGTGCTTTTAGGAATATACTAGTACAAAGATAATGCTGGTCTTTTACAGTTCCCATAGTCAGCTACTAAAACTGGAAAACAACTAACTGTTGCTTCAAGATGTGTGGATATGAGTTGAATGCAAACATCCAGAGAGTCATTGACCAGATCCAGGCTGTAGCCTGTTTTGCCTATAATTATTAGGTGCATAGCAAATTAGAGTGCAAACTCTGCTCCAGACCATTTCTCTTTTTTTCTGTTTTGAGAAAGTGCCATGGAAACCCACCAACATTTTTAGCTTTCGAAAAAGATTCTGTCGTGCCAGCTTTGTGCTCCAGCACTGGACAAAAATAACCTTTGGTTCAAAGCAATATCTGTCTGGGCTTTTGTTGGTTCAGCCCTAATTAAGACGAAAGCTTTTGAGGCAAATCTCCCTCGAAAAATCAGTCACAGAACATTAGAGATAAGAAAGACAGAACCCATTAGAAACCCACAAAACCATGGCTTTCCATTGCACAATTATAAGTATAAATCAATAAATTCATAGTTTATAAAGTTTGTCACCTCCTCATTTTTTTTGCACTTAAAAAAAAACGAACAAAAAAAACTTTAAAATCATACATTGTTTAACAAAGATAATGTTTTATTGTAAATTGCTAATTGTTGTTGCGTCGAGAAGCGAGGGGAAAAAAAAAAAATAAAAAAATAAAAACCTGTAAATCATTCCCAATACTACAATCTCGTAATCCCAATCCTGATCATTCCTACCCCATCATCACATCAGTAGACCACAGATCCCTGGTTCCTTCTGGTCACGCAGTGTTAGCTAGCCGGGGTCCTACCTGTAGAGCCTCTAATCGACATTAAGAAGGTGCCAAAGAGAAACTTTCGGCATCAACGATCCCTCCTGGAGCTCCGCTGGCGAGGGGTGCTCTTTCACAGAGCGCCAGCGCCCAATGAATCCCACAGGACATGAAACTTCATCACTTTATGAGGGGCTGTTCATATGATGAGCATGTGAGCAGGCTCTTTGTTCGGGGCACGTCCCATGACTCCAGTTCAAGATAATCCTTTTGGGAGTCCCATGACCCCTCTCTCATTGCCCACAGGGTATTTTCATCCCTCGCTGGAGCAAATCACAACAAATCTACTTTGATAGCTTCACAACCCCCGTGGAACACATTTCTTAAGCTCAGAAAACCTTGAGAAACGGCTTTTCTACCGCAAACACTTCTCGTAAGTTGATGTAGAGAGTCAGGTTTGTATCTAGAAATGGACAGGAATGGGAACTCATCAAAGCTTTTCATTCGAAAGTGTCACCCTCCTCCGACCACTTTGATATCAAGCCCAATTTGCATAATTGAGAGAATTGGGCACAGGCATTCTTTTGAAAAGAGGCCTAGTTAAGACATGACAGGACTCCAGTTGGGGGCAAGGTCATCCAATACCAATTGTTGTTAATCTCTATTTTCACCAACCGTGTTGTGGGGGGAAAACGGTTCTGACGGACTAACAATCACGTCTAAGCATTGATGACGCTACTGACTTCTAACAGTCTTTTACACAAAAGAAGAGAAGCCTTTAAGTGAGGAACTCTACTCAATAGAGGGTGTTTCATCAGTTGATTCGAGAAGTTACATTTGTGAAGATATTCACAAATCATTTTGAGAGGGTTTGAGTGACCAGTAGTTGGAAAACAGTAAATATTCAGTAAATCAGTCCAAGCTGGTGTTTGCTTGGGTCTATTAGCATGACCAGCTTTAAAATGCCCTCAAAACAGACCAGACTGACTAATTTGGCATTAGGCATGGAACCTATATAACCACATTGGGCTGGTTTAAAATCTATTAATCAGCAGGGCTGCTTGGTCAATCATTGAAAACATAGGGAGATTCCACCCAAAATGAAGATATACATTTTTGCAAATAGAAATGGCGAGATCATTGGTTTAAAGTGCTTTTCAATGGGTTCTTTCCTCAACCATCTCACTCTTTCAGCAGTTCAGTGCTGTCGTCAAAACGCACGTGGACAACTGGTAATTAAAGCTCTTGAAGACAAAGGGCTCTTGCCACTGCAGTAGTTCAGCCAGTGTGACGCACTTATTTCGGCTAGTTTAAACTCATTATCCACAGCAATTAAAACTCAAATCCGCTGAGAGCTTTGTTCAGAAAATGCACAAAAGCTCTCTAGGAGGAAAAATCTGATTTTCTTGCTTAAATTAACAAGGCCTATAGCAAACCTGGCAACAATCAACACTATTGAGTCTTTCCACATAGTCAGACATCTCGCACGTTGTTGCTCAACTAAAAAGGCATTTGTTCATAAATAGGATTGCAGCTACGATTTGTGAGAGCTGAAAGGGGGAAATCAGATTAAATGTTTATGCAAATCTTTCCCACAGTTTTTGTACAAGTCTGCATTTTCACATTGTACAGGCAAAACCCACAAAGATGCAATAATTACAGTAAATACATACTTACTGAAATTTAGATATGGCATTGTCTGTTCACACACTTCATAAATTGTATGATGAGCCTTTCCAAAACTAGACACTGAAGATCACATGAGAGGGCAACAGTCCGGTGACCCATTCCTCAGAACTAATGAGCAGTGTGGGATTTGATTTATGCTCACAGTTCAACTCACAACCTTGTAAAAACACTTAATGTATATTTAAAATTCCGTCCGTCCGTTTGTCCGTCTGTCTGTCTGTCTGTCTATCTATCTATCTATCCAATTGTCTGTCTGTCTGTCTATCTATCTATCTCAGGGGTGGCGAACGTCGGTCCTGGAGAGCCGCAGCCCTGCAGAGTTTTGCTTCAACCCTAATCAAACACACCTGAACAAGCTAATCAAGGTCTGAACGGTTACTAGGAAGCTACAGGCAGGTAAGTTTTCATTAGAGTTGGAGCTGAACTCTGCAGGGCTGCGGCTCTCCAGGACCGGAGTTTGCCACCCCTGATCTATCTATCTATTCAATTGTCTGTCTATCTATCTATCTATCTATCTATCTATCTAATTGTCTGTCTATCTATCTATCTATCCAATTGTCTATCTATCTATCTGTCTGTCTATCTATCTAATTGTCTGTCTGTCTGTCTATCTATCTATCTAATTGTCTGTCTGTCTATCTATCTATCTATCTATCTATCTCTCTGTCTATCTATCTATCTATCTATCTATCTATCTATCTATCTATCTATCTGTCTGTCTGTCTGTCTGTCTGTCTATCTATCTATCTATCTATCTATCTATCTATCTATCTATCCGTCCATCCATTCATCCATCCATCCATCCATCTATCTGTCTGTAATAAACCACTAGCAAGAGAGGGAGAAATATCATACTTGCAAATAAATTGTTAGTTTTAAGTTTTATAGAGGTTATACCAGGTCTGGAGACAATAGGCATGTGGATTTCTGGGTAAGTTTAACATACTTAACCTTTTTAAAACAGTGCTTTCCCCTTCTTACTCTGCCTCTAAAAAGACTCATTGTCTCTGTGGGTTTGAAAATCCAGTTAGCCATCATCACATGAGAGCAACATGTCACTGATTAGCCTTGAGATTTCTTAGTCATAAGACACATTTTTTAGACAACTATGTTTGTGTGAGAGTGTTTTTGTCTGTCTTTGAGAGAGGGGGAAGGGGCAAAGACCGAAAGAGAAATGACTGTAAATTTTGGAGGATGCATGCAAATGTCAAAGGAAGTGTTTTAGTAACAATCATATCCTTCTTTCCTCATTTACTCAGACTGGACACACATCCCTCAAAATTTTGTTTGCACGTCTATTTGCATGTGCTGTCATCTTTTTCAAGAAAAACCCTGTTTTTACTGTACAGAAAATAATAAAGGCATTACTGATGACTACATTTATTCACTAAACACTCATTTCTAAGGTTTGTAAATCTTCACAGGAATTGGATTTATGCATTCTGACCTATTTACCCACTACTGGAAGATATTGAGTAAACTTGCTTACTTTGACAATTCCTACATGTATTATATCAGAAAAGTGCGACACGCGACACGGGCGAGAGGCTACCAATGTAAAGATATATTTGATTCCTTATTGAAAGCTATATTTTCAGTCTTAATCACATGAAAGCAGACATTTGAAAGTAGGGAGGTAAAGTGCTTATAATCTTGCCCAGCTGCTGGTGCTCATACTGGGCATTATGGGGATTAGAGGCAGTGGAGGAGCATCAAACCACAGAGGTGCTGCTCATTCTGCTGCCGCCGGAGAAAGTTGCATTGGGCTGGAACTGCCCTTTTGCTTTCTCTTGTGATTAGGAGTTGGATTAGTAAGAGATTTAAATCAAAGATGCAAATCTGTTTTATATAATACATCTCTAGCTTCATGTTTTGCAACATTGTAACAAGTTAAATTTGTTTTTCCAATTCGTAGCAGTGGCCGTTGTTAAAGCTACAACTGTAAAGATAATCAGCAAGTTTTAAAGAGGGAAGAAATTAATTTTTCACATTATCCCTTTCCAAAAACTTCAACAAAGGTGTAAATATAAGTGGAAAATGCAATGTGAGCTATTATATGTGATCCTGGACGACAAAACCAGTCATAAGTGTCATTTTTTTCTAAATTGAAATTTATACATCACACGAAATCTGAATAAATAAGCTTCCCATTGATGTATGGTTTGTTACAATAGTACAATGTTTGGCCGAGATACAACTATTTGAAAATCTGGAATCTGAGGGTGCAAAAAAATATTGAGAAAATCGCTTTTAAAGTTGTCCAAATGAAGTTCTTAGCAATGCATATTTCTAATCAAACATTAAGTTTTGATATATTTACAGTAGGAAATTTACAAAATATCTTCATGGAACATGATCTTTGCTTAATATCCTAATGATTTTTGGCATAAAAGAAAAATTGATAATTTTGACCCATACAACATATTTTTGGCTATTGCTACAAATATACCCCAGCGACTTAAGACTGGTTTTGTGGTCCAGGATCACATATTATATTATATTATTATATTATTTCTAAAATACAATTAGTGTTGGTAGTAACAAGTTACATGTAATGGTGGTACGTAATTTAATTACAACATAAATGTAACTGTAATCCGTTACAGTTACTGAGAAAAAAATGTGTAATTAAATTACAATTACTTATGAAAATGTTAATGATTACAAAGGGGGTTACATCTGAATATTTACACACACACTGTTTGCAAATGCTTAACAGTTGTCTAACATAATATAATATATATTTTACAATGCTGAAGCTTAAGTTAAAAAGCACAGAATATGTAAAGAAATAATAACAAGCAGTACTGATTTTGCATTAGAAGTGCATTATGGAAAGAATTATAAGAATACGTAGCCCAAGTTGATTGGTCATGTCTTCTCCAATCTTTCACATTCTTAAAGCTGATGAAAACTAAACCCTTTAGCTGAGACATAAACCTGTGAATCCATGTCATTTTAGTATCACTAATATATCATTGTTGTGAACATTTAGAGTTAGATTTTATTTTAATTTTAATATTTGTTATAGTAATTTTGTTGTGTGCTTTTTGTCTTTTTTATTATTATTATTATTTTTAAATATGTCTATATAGTTGTATTAAGTTTTAGCTGTGGTTTATTTAGTTTTTGTTATTTTAGTACCAAAACTAAACAAAAAGAAGTTGAAACTTAAAATAAAGTTAAAATACGGTAGTTTACATTTTTTTATAGTTTATTTTATTTCAGTAAATGATTATTTTATTTTTGGTAATGTTTTTTAATGGTTTTAGTTTAAGTTATTGTTTTAGTTAACTAAAATAACCCTGCTGTGAATACCTGGTTCAGTATCATGTCACATACACCTGACTTCACTCATAAAGAAGAACATATTTTCACTCATTTCAATCACCTCTAGATCACTGAATCAAACTCAAGGCAACAGCCTAAACCTCCCTAAAGCGGTGGACACTCTTACCTTCTGAGACATTGATGCTGAGCGTTTGATGGAGGCCCGTTTGATGGAGCCACTGGCTCTTCTACCGCCCCACTCCATGTGTCCGGTTCACTCCGCACCTCAGAGACTCATGACCGTGTCGGACCCTCCAAGACCCTCTTTTGCTCTGTCTGTAAAGCGGTCCCTGCACTATCAGCGCTCAAACTCATCTCCCGATGTTCATTCTTTGGGTTCTCCCGCCCTTAACTGAAGATAGAAAGACGCAGATGAGGATAAAACATCTCTCGATGACACGCTTGACACATAGACCCCGTTTCCCCCGCTTGACAGCCTGTAATCAGGATTAATGCAGCCAGCTCTTGGAAGCTTGCGACTTTAATGGGGCAGAGATTTAATAAATGGTTATTGAAGGTAAATCTACTTTGGGACACTATGGGCCAAAAAGGTTTTGAAAACATGCAAACTTTGTGAGGATGCTTCTCCTGGACTTTGAAGACTTGAGTTACAATAAGAAAACAGGTTTAGGCCTACACACTAACCGTGATATGCCTGACCTACTGTGGTGAAGTTTGAAAAGAAAGTCTGTGTGGACCGACGCTTTTGCAAACCATAACAATATTTACCTCATGGTGATTTTATTCTAAACATGCTGGTATTCTTTTTGTTAAAGGTAAGTGAACCATCTAAATAGTCAAACGCACAGAGATTAGCACAGGATTATTTTAAATGAGGACATGAATTAAATGAATTTCTCTCTTAATGCACGCAGAAATAAAAGAATCAGTCAAATGAAGCCTGTAACAAATGCGCACCTTCCAAATCAATTACACTGAGAGCAACCTTTCTGTAGTAATGCGATGTGAACATCTGAAAAGTAGAATACTGTACTCTTGTGGTTATTGTTGTAATTGCATGTGTTCATAGTAACACTTCATACCATATCTCAATATCTATACCATATCTACCATATTACACATTTTCTAGATGAATTACTATAGCTTTAACATTATTATTATTACTATTGTATACAGTAAAGTATATGTATATAATTAAAATCACACAGTAACATGCACTAAGTAAAAAGTAAATTACTAGTAAATTACTAACAATCACAAAAAATTAGCAAGTCCTAATAATTAAAATGTTTATTATATATATATATATATATATATATATATGCTGTGTATATGTCATGCTGTGTATATATGATAACGTTTATAACATCTTGTGTTATTTCAGTATCATTGAGATTATATTATAAATTATATTTTAATTATATGTTAAATTAAAATGAAAATCATTTTAATTTTAGTTAAAGTTTTATTAATTTTGCTGTATTTTTGTCTTTTTTTTATTATGTATGTCTATATAGTTTTTTATAGATTTTTTCATTCATTTCATTCAGTTAATGTTTATTTTATTTCAGGTAATTATTTTTTTAATGGTTTTAGTTTTAATTTCAGTTCACACACACACACACACACACACACACACACACACA